GACTGTGGTATTCCGGTTTCTTTGTTGCTGTGATCAACATCTGAGAAGAAACAGTCCAAGGGGAAGAAGGATTTATTTCGGCTCATGACTTTTGCTATTTCAGAGTGAGGGCAAGCCTTGTTGCTGCGCTTTGAGGAGACCAAACATCAAGAGCCAACGGTATGGGGGAGCAAATTTGTTCACTTCCTAGCTATGAGGAAGGGAGGGAGGGAAGGGAGTGAGATTCCCCCCCCCACACACACACACAGAGAGAGAGAGAGAGAGAGAGAGAGAGAGAGAGAGAGAGAGAGAATGAACAAGGACATATTCTCAGTGGCTGTTTCCTCTAGCTCTAGGTCCCTCATAACATTTTTCTCCCTCTCAAAAGAGCACCACCAGCAGGTTATAATACATGATCCTATGGGGATATTTCATATTTAAACCCTACCGATCATTGTCTAGAAATACTTCCATTTGAGTGCATGCAGATGGGCTAATCATAGCATGGGATTGCTGCAGTGTTCTACAGAACTGAACAGTTTAGGTGACCCTTCTGCTATTAATGGACATTTTGGGACTTCCCCCAACATTTTGTGGCAACAAATAGTGTCACACTAAAGATTGTTCTGTGTATTTCCTTATGTGTAAATGTCAATTATTGGTTTTCTATATAGTTACCCTAAAGGAGAAATTCTGACTAGAAGGTGAACAACAGCTAATCCTAGAAGCCTCAGCACCACTTTTTTCTTTGAAATTTGGTAGTATTTTAAACATTTTCCTCATGTTTTGGTAAGAATTATTTGTGCCTGGTGGTGGTGGTAGCACACACCTTTAATCCCAGAGCTCAGGAGACAGAGGCAGGAAGATCTCTGAGTTCAAGGCCAGCCTGGTTGGTCTACAAAATGAGTTCCAGGACAGCCAGGGCTACACAGAGAAACCCTGTCTAAAAAAAACTAAAAAAAAAAATGTATATTCTGGAGAATAATCTTTAACCTATACATACATACATACATACATACATACGTACACACACAAACACACACACACACACACACACACATACACACACACCTCCAAGTTTGTTTCTTGTTTTCAAACTTGGTTGTATCTAACTCAGGAAGTTTCAAACTTTTAAGTCATATTTGTGTTAGTTTTTAGTTTCTGTCTCAGGAAGACTACATGGCAAGGTCACTTGCATGTTTTGAAGTATTATTTACTTTTAAGTTTCCTGTTGTTTTGCTTTTTATGTTTAGTTTTTTTTTCAGTCACTTGGGATTTAGTTTTACATGCATTAGAGGACAGTGTCTAACTTTCTTTCATACTCTAAATTGAAAAGTAATTAGTCCACTTATCCCCAGCCCAAATTGAAATGCTGCATTTCCCAAACTAGACTTCTAAAAATATTCACACGTCTGTTTCTGGGCTTTGTACTGATCTTCGTGATCTTGCCTGTTTCTGGGTCAGCAGAGCATTGTTCTAGCTATAGTCTCTTTTTCCTGTATTTTGCTATCTGATAGGAAACCACTTTTCAGAAAAGTGCTAATTATTTGAGAGGCAGGGACAGTTTCAGTCGTCAGTGAGTCAAAGAGCTTTTGCAGAGCGGCACCTGTGAGTGCTGAATGAGTCAGTGCTCGGTGCTCTGGACACTGCACTTCACACCCTTAAGGTCCCGGAAAGATGGTGTTGAAAATAACAGCGTGTCCAGCTTTTCACTGCTCAGCCTTTCTCATTGGATGATTTCATAAGTGTCTAATTATTATTTTATTTTGAATAAATAATATGTCTGCAGTATGCATAACTCAAATGGGACAAAAGTGAAAATAGACTCCTTCTAGTTTCCAACAGTCAACCACTTCTATCAAGCCCAGCATGCATTCTGGCCTGAACTTTGTTGCTCTAACACAGTGTCTCAAAACTCAGTCTATGTCAACATATAAGGTTCTGCTTTATGAAATGGATGTACCATATTTTATTAGTCACGATGACAATCAAGTTGTTTTAATAAGCACTTTCAATATATGTAATTTCTCATACATTCAGAATACAAATTGCTGTTTTCAGTATAGTCAAACGGAAAAGCTGACATTTGAACAGTTTTGTTATTTGAAACTTTGATCTGTATCTCTTTCTTTGTTGTGTGACTAGACATATGAGGTCTACTTGTATATCATCTTTTTATAGTCGTTGGAGCAGTTCCTTACTATGTGAGAGATCTAAAATTTTGATTGTCAATCCTGTAGTCTTATCCTACTGAACCAAAGAGTCTAAATTTTGTTTTAAAAGTAGAAGCTATATCTATATCATCTATATTTATATCTCCAGGCTAGTGCTGCTTATTTTGGGGTCTTTTATGTGTACATGTGCCTCTTATAGTATCCAAGCCTTCTAAGAATGAATAGGCATTGGACATTTGTATATAGGTTTGAAATCAGTCCTACTCTGGTTGATTATGTCTTTTGTGAAGCTTTGTAACTGTTTTCTGTTAGCATTTCTTCAACACTATTTGCTCATGACAGTTGTGTGTTAAGCTTTATGAAAGTGTTTGTGAACACTCTGCAGAAATACAGCCTCTGACCAAGGAACCCGATGCGAGGACACTACCCACCGAATAAACAGAATGGACTCTGGAAATGCTTGACCCATGCTCCATTCCTTCTTGACTTCTTAGCTGCTTAACATTGGCCATAAAAGGTTTCTGGCACTAATTCCTTGACACCTGTCTCTTACCCTCCCAGTGCAGGTTCAAATCAGACCAACCAACTGTAAATCTTAGCTTGGCAATGAGACACAAGAGAGAACAAACCCTCTGATGGTGAGTCATCGATATCTTTGGAGAATGTTGTTCATAGACAAGGCAGGAGGAGTTGTCAGAACCGAAATGAAGTCATGTTGGACATGTGGTGCTTACTGACAACCTCAGCACTTGGGAAGTTGAAGATACCAAAAGTTTGAGACCAGCCTGGGCTTCATAGTGAGATTTTTGTCTCAAACCAACAAGATAGAGTTCCTTACCTTCCAAAAGTAACTAAAGCCAAGAGGCTATGCAGAAATGGGTCTTCTGTACCAGATACTCAGATACTAACTGAATGTGCTCTAATCTTGGCTCCCACTTGTAATCTGCTTCTATTTGTTTTAGATGCGGGTATACTTCACTGAGTTGTTAAAACAAGCAGTGGGGGAATCTCTGTAAGTTCAAGGCCAGCTTGGTCTATAGGAGTTCTAGGACAACCAGGTCTATAAAAAGAGCCTATCTCAAAAAAACAAAACAAAACAAAACAAAAAAGAAAAACAAACAACAAACACAAGGAGTGGGGAAATGTAAGCAGCCTGCCTGGCAGAAATAAATACATTCTAAAGAGACACTTATGTCCCTCTCTTGGGCTATTATACTATTCAAACAATGTACACCAACAAATTAGAAATTCTAATTGAGAAGAAAATCCAGAAGCCCTGGTGACAAGTGGAGGAGGAAATTGTCTACCAGAGAAGGAATCTAATGTGTCTTGGAGACAGGCTTGCAGGAGAGACAGGAGCAGAGACAATGGTGGGCAGGACCACACCTTGGCCAGACAGCCTGGTTCTGCGTATTTCTTGCCTTCTTTTTAAATGCTACTCTCATTTTAGGGTTGCAAGTTGGACATGGGGTCCCCTGGGTATCTTTGTACCACTTCCAAAATGTGGCTACATTGAACATTTTCCTTTATTCTGCTTTTCACTGTAAACAATTAGCTCTGAACATGACGTTGGAGGTGCAGGGAGTGCTTAAACTTTCAGCTTTGATGTATATTGTTAGATTGATCTCTAAGAAGTTTTGAGAAATTTCACGATGAATAAGGACTATAATAGCGTTTGATGCTGGGTTTCAGACCTGCTCAGACATACCCAAGTATTATGGAAAGCACCAGAGAGGCTCTGGACAGGGCCCTGAGAGTGAGTCAAACTCTATATGTGTGAATGTGCATGTGTGTGATATACCCATGTTAAAGCGTTCGAGGAAGCACCAGTCATCTAATTAATGAGAATCCTGTTTAAAGCTCTAATAATGAATGAAAATATTAGTAGCTTGACTAAAGAACTCGTGCCTTTATTATTCATTAGGAACTGGCAGTAAATAATAGGTTTGAATTTCACAGTCATGAGGCTGCTAATCAAAGCACAGGGCATTGCTTAAGATCATAATTCATTATCCTTCGCAGCAGTAGCATAGCAGGGCTTGTCTATTTGAATTGCTAACTGGGCACCAGCCTCTGCTAGGCTCTTGGACTCATCCAGAGGGAGGAAAGCTGGTAGTCACACAGCAAGATGAGAACACTGTCTCAGGTCTAGGATGAGCTATGATTGGGATCCTCCTCCAGGATTCAGCCCGGTGAGGGCTATCCCCATGTTCTTGTCAGCAGTAATTCATGACGGCAGGCTGGAAAGAGAGCTTGTCTCTAAGCAAGCAGCCATCTGGGAGGCAGAGACTAGTTTTGTTCTAACTCATCCTTCATGACTTGGTGGTGCCTTCCGTCTGCCCCCACCTCTTCACACCTTACTCCACTTCATCTGGTAGGTCAAATTCTTCTTCCTTCCACTTGCTCTGGGAAAATTACTATTGGGAACTCCTGCCCCCCCCTCCCAACACAGAGCAAACACCAAATTTGCAGCCCCCCCTTCTACTTGACATGGGCAGAAATGAGATGACTCCTCACCTTCTGGCCCTCGTTCCTCCCTCCTTTAGTGTCTTCTCTATTTTTACAGCTCTTTATAAATTCTGGTCACCTCTGGTGGGATGAAAGGAGGCTGCGCTGCTTTGCTTGACTCAGTTTCCCTCGTTTGGGGCAGCCTCTCAGGTTTTTTTTTATTCCTTCAATGGCTTGTTGCTCCCGTCCCTTTGTTCATGGGTCTGAGGGTCCACACATCTCCCTTATGTTAGCATTTAGTATCTGCTGTACCCAGATTTCTAAAGACAAGAGTGGAACGCTCTCAATTAGCCTGGTCAGAGGAGACACCTTGAAATGAACCTACAGTCAACACAATCATACTCCATAACAAAATTTTATTAGGATGATGTCAAATTAGAAAATTTCTCTACTTGCCATATTTACCTGAAATGACAAGATTTTACTTAGTTGAATATAAAAGTTTCCCCCATTTTCTACTATTTGGAAGCAAGAAAACTGACATGCAGAGCAGTATACCTGATACCACAGGTCTAAGCCTTAAGAAGTGGTCAGCAAAGCATGCATTAGTTTTAAGCTTTGGGCCTGAGAAAGATATCATTCTCTATCTCCCACAAAGGCAAGTCCATCATGTCTTGGGCTCCTAAGTCTGAAGCCTGCTCCTTGGAGCCTAATAGCAATGCCTGCATTTCAAGAGAAGCTAGGTTTGAGGTATCTTATGGCTTCAAAGGCACAGGTCATGCAGCTGAATTAAAAGCTATTGTGTTGGTCTCTCCAATGCAGCCTTGAGCCACGCTGGGAAAGGGTGGGTCCAGATCGGTGCTTGTCCTTGGTGCCTCAGTGTGGCCTAAATGCCACCAGCCCTATTATTTTTGTCTTTTTGCCGCCAATCACCAGTCACCAGCATTGAAATTGGAAAAGGTCAGGGCCCCTGCACAGTCTCCCCCATGTGGAAGGGTCATGCTGCAAAATATGACTTCCCAGGATGCAGAGGGAACCTGATCCAGGAGCCGAGAAGTTGCTCCAGTGCATACAAGGAGGGGAGGCTTCATCATTGGAGCAAAACACAGAATGTGGGAAAGAAACCAGCTTTCCCTGGAAAGAGTTCCCTTAGGCTGGCAAGAGGCCCTGGGTTTAACATAGACACACCTGCAGGCAAGCGGCCCCTTGGAGTAGTGGGAAGAACAGTATGGAGAGAGTGCCAGCAAGGACCACAGGGCCTCCAACTCATGCACATTCTCCGAGGCCATCAGTAGTGGGCACTGAACACTCACTGGACTCTGCACATAGCCCTCTAGTTAGTTCGAACAAGTGGAGTCGAGTCCTAAGAGATAAGAATTATCGCTTATGCTCAGGGGCTCTTTTTCCATGTTATTAATGCTCCATAATTAAGGGAATAGAACCCCAAATCCATGTGAAGGACCCAGAGAGCTGCCTGAGGAACAGGAGGGAGGAGCCCCCTGCAGACCGAGCACATCTGGTTCATCCCAAAGGCAGCCAGACCTGACTCGCCTGGTCCCCCCAATCCAGCAGTAAAAATGGCTGTCAGATAATTAAATGAGGTTGCATAATACAGAGGGAAGGTAATGAATTCTCATTTCTGAAGGCACGGGGGGATACATGTGACAAGGTTTTGATTCTGTCCAATTTATGTTCTTAATTCTCTTTGTGTCTCTCTCTGCACCGCCTCTTAGGCTCTTGGCATTCCTCCGTGGTCTTACATTACTTGTGATTACATCTGCACTCATCATGCCAATTAGTCCATCTGGGGTTGACCCCGCGTCTGCTCGAGCTTGAGTTCGTAGCTTCCCAGGCCAAGGTCTCCCTCGTAGATGTTTTCCTTGCCAGGAGTCTGGAGTGAAGGCTTCTGGTCTAGAGATAGCTTTGTGGTAGGACTGCTGGGTGAGGAACCTGGCTCCTGGTAACTCATGGCGAGCTCATCTTGGTTTACAATACATTCCGCATCGTCCTCTTTCAGCTGTTACAGAGAGAGAGAGAGAGAGAGAGAGAGAGAGAGAGAGAGAGAGAGAGGTCATTTCATGATGAAGACAGAAAACAGAAGCATCCCCATTGTGTAAGAAAAATAGAATTTTGTGTGTGTGTGTGTGTGTGTGTGTGTGTGTGTGTGTGTGTGTGTGTGTGATACATACATACATGCAGGTGGAGGCCAGAGGTTGACATCAGGTGTTCTTAATGGTTTTCCACTGTCTCTTCATTTTTTTGAGCAGGGTTCTCTCACTAAACCCTGGACTCACCAGTTTGGTTAGACTAACCAGCTAGCTAGCTCTGGGGATCTGCTCGTATCTATCTCTATAGTGCGGAGATTACAGATGCATGCCTGGTGCTGGGGATCCCATCTCAGGTCTTCCTGTTTGTAAAGCACATTCTTTACTGATGGAGTCATCTCTCCAGGACTGGAGACTCCCTGTTCTTTGAATTAATGACCAGTTTTACTATGGCCCATCTGTGCTTGTTCACGGCATAGCATTCTCTGTGTCAGCATGAAAACTTGGCTTTCTACACAGCCTCAAATAGTCTCCGAGTTCAAGGCCAGTGGAGACCCATGACCCATCTTCTTGGGCTGAGGGGAGAAGAATGGGATTTGGTGGATTTTCTTCACTGGCACCCAGGAAGGTCAATCAGACTCAATATAGCCAAATCCTGTGCTTTAAAGAAGCCTTATCCTGGTTTTGAGAGGTGCCTGCCTTGCAGAAAACCCTTGGAGCTGAAGATGTTATATTTCACTTTAAACCAAGGTTCCAGGACATTTCTTGAGACCAGGGTCACAAGACTAGAAGTGACTGGCATTGACCCTAGAGAATGGGATAACGTCAGAAATGCATAGATTGACCAGGGATGGTCACCTCATCCAGAGGTTCCCCCGAAGGGCGTGGCATCTCAGCTCTTCTCCCATTGGTTAGGGAGGATGACATCAAATCACTGCACAGAGAGGGCTGGCTGGATCACCTTAGGACAGGGTTCCCACCTTTAGAACTCTGGGGGCATCTGAGAGCTATTTAAAACAGGTCTGTTGTGTGAGGATTATTTCTGTCATGTTCCTCTGGGAAGCCCCCAGCTGCTGTTACCTGAGAGGACGAGTCTCTGTCTGTAAGGGAATGCTGGCTGACAGCTCCTTAGGCCACTTTCAGCTCCCAGAATCCGCTCTTCTCCAGCTCCCTGACACTCTGATTTGCTGGTAATGACTCTAATTGCTTCTCAGTAGTTTTTTATTCTACTCCCCTGAGCTATAAAGCACAGACCTAATATTCAAAACTTCAAAACACAGCAGTTTGTGAAGACACATCACTTTTACATTTTCTAAGTTCATTTTATGATTAAAGATATTGGCAAAAATAAAAAAAATGCCTTTTTAAAAAAGAAGAATAAGCCAACATCAGCAACAACTGAGCAGAGAAGAGAAATACTTTTTGGTGCAGTAAATGTCAAAACCGCTTCCTCCTCAAGCTAGGGAGTAAGGGCCCTGATGTCTCTAGCTCATCAATACTCACCAGACTTGCCCCCCACCCCCCGACTGTTCACTCACCCCGTAGGCCTGAGGACTGGTGAGCAGCCTGGAGACTGGTCCACACCATGCAGGCAATGTGGTGGTCAGTGGAGGACCCGAGTGCGTTAAGATGGGCTTCAGATATCTGGGGTGGGGGCTGTTAAGGAATACTTGTCAAAAGGAAGTTAGACTTTCATTTCTCACACAGCAGAAACCTGTACATGCTGCCCAAACAGACAGTTATGTTCACCTTTAAATCTTCTGCTCCCTCATTTAGGAAGCGATTTGGCCTGAAAAAATTGCTGTTTGTAATCTTTGCTCTACACACTGTTGCAGCCCTCCAGACAGCCTTTCATCATGCAGAAATGGCGAAGGGGCTCCACATGTTAGAGAGAGATGCAAATATCCCTCCTGATCCCTCCAGCCCCCACACCATGGCTGATCTGTTTTGAGAATGCATTTTGAAGAATAACCTAGAACAATAGTATAAAACACACACACACACACACACACACACACACACACACACACACACACACACACACAAAGGAGAGAGAGAGAGAGAGAGAGAGAGAGAGAGAGAGAGAGAGAGAGAGAGAGAGAAACACCAGTCATTTCCACAAAGAAGCAAGAGGTATTTCATGAAATGCCCAGCTATTTCAGAACTGGGTAGTCAACATGGAATGTTTTCCAAGATTCTTCATTTTCAGTATTCAGTACAGTCACTTTATACTTCATACATCAGTGCACTTCTATACAAAATTATGCAAATGAGATGCTGCTAGGTTTGTTCTATTGTTTAGCACCTGTCTTTCCCATCTCTTCATCCCAAAGTGTTCTAACCAGTTAAAAGGGAAACCTGTTCATTTGAAGCCATAGTGCTTCCCTCCAATCTGTCAATAATGAAATCCCCAGAGGCAACCTCATGTGATATCATCATCATCATCACCACCATTATTATTATTATCATTATTATTATTAGCTGAAAGAAAGTAGTAGAATTGTTCCACCATTCTATTAGAAGTGACTTTTAAGTTTATATTCTTCCCTCTGCTGGAGAGCATTTCACTTCATCAACTCTCTGCAAAGCGATGATAAAAAGGGAAAGAGGAAAAAGAGAAGCAGTTGACACTGGCTGGCTTGTGAAGATCTGCAGCCACCCACAGGCACTCGGGGTGTGAGAAGATCGGGCGATGAATATAGGAACCACCCATAACTAAAGAACACCTCTTTCACTCCTGTGATGCCCCAGCAAGTGGGAGCAGAGGGAGGACCTCTGTTTCCCTCTGAGTGCAGGTCACTTGACAGTCAAGCAGCAGTGAACACGGCCTAGGTTTGCTTGGAGGAAAATGATCCGATTTGCAAGCCAGTCTGCAGTACCACATGCAAATGGGAAGGTTGGCTCCTTTAAGATGAGTGGCTGGTGAGGCCAGTTGAGGACCAGGGAAATTACCCTTCAGAGACTGGCTTTGCTGTCACATCTTGTAAGTACATATACAAATCTGAAAGCCCTTGATGAGATCCTATTAATTTTCATTAAAGTGTTATTTCCTTCATTTTCTGGATGAAGGGATCAAAGCCTGGAGATATTATGATTTTATATAACCTAAAGTCTCCCTTTGCAATTTTGGTTGATAGCCTGGCCGTTAGTGGCTGAGCCCTCCCTCTGTGCCCCCCACCTCTTACAATTATTTTGAATTCACCACCATCATCTCTGTCTTAGTTAGGGTTTTATTGCTGTGAAAAGACACCATGACCATGGACACTTTTATAAAGGAAAACATTTAATTGGGGCTGGCTTACAATTCAGAGGTTTAGTCTATTATTGTCATGGTGGGAAGCATGGTGGCATGCAGGCAGACAAGGTGCTGGAGAAGGAGCTGAGAGTTCTACATCTTGATCCAAGGGCAGCAGAAGAAAACGGAGACACTGGGTCTTGCTTGAGCTGCTGAAACCTCAAAGCTAGCTCCCAGCAACACACTTCCTCCAACAAGAACACATCTACTCCAACAAGGCCACCTCCTATAATGCCACTCTCTATGGACCAAGCATTCAAACACGTGAGTCTGTGGGGGCCAGTCCTATTCAAACTGCCACAATCTCCTTGGGAACTTATCAAGGCAGAATCAGGCATGGCAGATGATCTGCAGGGTTCTCTAAAAGCAGACTTTAGAGTCTCTTTGTACTGGTGAGCTGAGCCTCTTCTGGGTCGGGGCAGGAGGGTATTGTGTCCTGTCAGGGTTTACCGTTAGTACAGGCCCATGAAAATCTGTGGAAAGGCTTTTGAATGACCAACTGAAGAGCAAGGAAAACTAGTTAAGTTGGTTTCTTGAGGTCTAAGTGGTGGCGCATCAACAATGTCCTAGGGGTACCACTGTGGTCAAGGCTGTGAGAGTGTGAGAGAGGCCCTGGGACCCTCCACCATGCTTCCCAGTGTGCTGAGAAGTTAAAAATGACAAAACAGAGTTATTTAAGTAAAATACAAATTTAGAGTTGTTTTAAGAACATTCTTTTAAATCTGATGAGGTACTTCTTTAAATTATGTACCATTAGAGTATAACTTTAAAGGCTAAATTTCTAGTATATGTATATATATATTCTTATGAATGTTAGAACTCAAACCAAACAGAACCATTTGGCTCCTTCTCGATCGTCTCTGCAGATTATACAAAGAAGCCATGGACATGAACACTCGCTGTATCGCACAACTGATGGTTCAGTTCTTATTCTATTTGAACCTCGGGTTTGTTATATTCAGTAAAATAACATAAACACAGGGCTTGAAGCTTTGACTTGCAATTCAGATGCTATTTTTTTTTTATGGCATTGAGGATTAAGCCCAAGCTACATCCCTAGCCCTCTTTTTACCTTTATTTTGAGATAGGGGTGGGGGAGAGGTGTTCTCAATAAGTTGCCTATGCTTGCTTTGAACTTGTAGCTTTCCTGCCTCGGTCTCTCAAGTACCTGGGATTACAGGCCCTTGCCACCAGGCCTGGATCTATTTATTTGATTTTTAAAATTTGTTTTTGATGTTCTGGCCCTTGTCTAAGTGATAGTGGGGATCAACAGTGAGGGTCAACACAGCTGCCACTAAGGCATTTGATGTAGCATTGGGATGATGGGCTCTGAAAGCAGACCTTGTGCCCCTGAACAGTTGTGTTGATTGAGTAGGGGCTAGCTGGAAGTGATGAGTGAGGGAGGGGTGGTGATGTGTGACTCCTGGGAAGCAGGCGATGCCCTTTGACTGTTCTGTAGTCATGTGAACCCCAGAAAGCATGAGCTCCGTGCATGATGGGAGGTATGAAGCTCCATGCATTGTCATGTGATGTGGAGCTGGGGCTGTACTCCCTAACATCTCGGTTTGCTCAGTGATGGCCATATATGATGCGCTCAGCGGACCATCTGCTGAGTCTCTGGTACAGGATGATATTCAGAGGTGGTGTGGTGTAGGGGATAGAAGTAGGTTCTGAATGAGTTCCAGAGAAGAATGAGAAGGGCGGATTACAGCCAGTGCATGAGGTTTTCCTGAGGACAGAAGGCCAAGAAAGGTCAAATGGACCACTTGAGTTTGTGTTATCAGACAATGGGGATCCCAGGAAGAGTGATGATGGAATAAAATAAGGTGACTCACTCACCCACTCACCCACTCACCCACCCACCCCACTCACTCACTCACTCACCTACCCACCCCACTCACTCACTCACCTACCCACCCCACTCACTCACTCACTCACTTACCCACCCACCTCACTCACTCATCCACACACCCCACTCACTCACTCACCCACCCACCCCCTCCTTTCTCACCATATGCTTTTGTTTCATGTGCCACACTAGTGCAAGATAGAGACAAGCACCCGCAGAAGCAGAGTAACAATTATGTGTGAAGATGGAGTGCTTTGTTTTCAGCTTGCTGGACCCTTGAGTGCAAGGCTATTCCTTTTGTCTGTGTACAGTATTTGGTACATCTTAGTCACTCAATAAATGATTGCTAAATCAATAAAAACACCAGCTAAGTGAGGGTAAATACAGGCTCAATGGAACCCAGCAGACCTGTCTTGAGACTATGAACTCTTCCCTCACAGTTCTGTCCTGTCATAGAGGCAGACTGTTAGCATTTAGGCATCTGGACTGGCCAGCCCTTAGGGTCCTGACAGGATGCATCCTCCACTGCAGCCACTAAGAGCGCCCCCTGTGCACATTCACTGCTTTCCCTTATAAAAGGCGGGCCTTGCCCACCTCTGTCTCTCTCTTCTTTTGCTCCTGTCCCCAGGGACCAGTCTCTGCCCCTTCTCTCCCCTCAATAAACCTCCCACGTGGGCCCTGTTGTATGGCGTGACTCCTTCTTGCCGCTTTTAAAATCCAACACAGACTAACTGGACTGGCCTAGTAAGATGATGGAATGGAATCAGGGGGAACAGCGACTTTCTGGTTCTTCATTGCTAAGCAATATCGGAAAAGCAGCTGGATCTCCAAGGTTACCTGAATTATTAAAAAGTAAGAAAAATCTTTTGATCTACAAAAAAAAATCCTCAACAGCAGATTTTGCAAAATGTGTTATTTTTCTCATTAGGGCTCTAGTATGTGTTTGGGGAGGAAGATTCCTCAAGGGGCATTTGGCTACGGCTAGTTTTGCTTCCCTTGTAAGCTGAAATTACACTGAGACAAAAATGTGAAGCTCTTGGGGAAAACAGTGGCTTTTCTCATTTTTAAAGGGACTAGTGGTTTGGTTCAGGGAAGAGTGGAAGCTGGAACTCAACCTGAAGTTTAACAATGTGAATTAGGAGAAGCCATTAGCAAATGTATTTTCTCCTTTGGCCAGAGACACTAGAGCAAAATTTAGTAGCCATGCACACTAACAACTGAAGTACCTGGCCACAGGAATGCCTCTCATGTCTGTTCTGGTTTGGGTTACCGTGGATCATTACTCTATTCATTTTAAATTCCTTCAACCAATGGATATACATTTTGTTGGTGTTTGCGCCTTGTCAAAGTGACTTTTCATAGATTGGCGAGCATCAAAGACCCTGCTCATCTTCCCCTCTAAGGCTCCACTACCCCTTGCATGGACCCAAGATTTGTTTTCTTTCTGAGTCCTGTGTTGGATAAAGTCCTTGCTTCAATGTGATGTTAAGTAGAGATAGA